GAAGAAGGAGGAGGAGGAAGAAGGAGGAGGAAGAAGGAGGAGAAAGAAGAAGAAGGAGGAAGAAGAAGGAGGAGGACGAAGAAGGAGGAGGAGGAAGAAGGAGGAGGAAGAAGAAGGAGGAGGAAGGAGGAGGAAGAAGGAGGAAGAAGAAGGAGGAGGAAGGAGAAGGAGGGAGAAGGAGGCATATTTTAAGAATTGCGGGGGCCAGCCATTGGCACAGTGCTTAAGGTGGCTGGATCCCATATGGCTGACTATGCAGTTTGGATCCCAGACCCGGTGGCTTGAAAAACATGGGCATGGGTACATATGCCCAAATCCTTAAAGAAGAATGGAGAAGAGAATGGTCATCCCTCCAGAGAATGCTTTCTCTTTCTCTCCCAGTGAGCACAAGCACCCTATAGTAAATGAAGGGAAAAAAAAAAAAGACTTGTGACAGCAACATTCAAAATCAGGTAAGTTCTTTTTTTTTTTTTAACCATACTTATTTTTTATATTAGAAAGTGTTATACTGAGAGTCAGTTGGAAAAAAAGCCAACGGGCCAGCAGGTGGTGTAGTGGTTAAGAGACTGAACTTGTATGTGGTTGACCATGGTTTGAGTCCCAGACCATGGCTTGAAACTCATGCCGGGCACATGTGCATGTGTGCCCAAAACCCCAAAAGAAGAATGGAGAGAAGGATTTGTGGTGTGGCCAACCCCTCTAGGGGGTGATTTCTCACTTTCTGCCTCTGTCTCTCTGGTGGGCACATGCACCCTATAGCAAAAATCTCTCCAACACCAAAAAAACAGCCAAGAGCCACTGCTGGCATGATGTTTATACAATGCCCTGCAAGGCCAGACCCACATGAGGAGGTTCTGGGTTCCATTACCCCATCTGCCAGTCCCCACAATGAATACATTTATGGGTTGAAATCACTTGGAGTCAATGCCATTGCTTATTCTCCTAAGCTCAGTCTTTTGCAAAGAAATGGAGGAAAGTTAAGCCCATGAAGAAAGAAGCTGAAGAGCTTCCCGTGGAAGGTAGCTACCTGAGAGAGGGAGGTCGGGAAGGTCCATGCGCGGAGGCACTGCTTTGCCGGCTGGCCGGGCACTGCTGTAGGTCGAATGCCTCTGTAAGAACCAAAGACACGTCGGCATGGTGAGCGCGTGTGCCGAGAGCCACACAGGCGTGCTTAACCCAGCAGATCCCAGGGAGCGTCCAGAACAACTCAGGTATTAGACTAGGCACTAAACGCAATAGGCGCCATCCTCAGAAGAAGCACAATGAAGGGCAAACAGAGGGAATAAAGTCCCTCTTCAAGTGCCTCACCCAATTCTTCTCCCTAGGCATAATCAGTATTAATCAGCTTTATGGCTTTAGGTCCTAGAATATTCTGTGTATACCCAGGGATGTGGATAAAAGTTCTGGCATGTTGGTTGAGGTGCTGGACTCCCACGTGGCCAAGCATGTTTGAGTCCCGGACCTGGTGACTTGAAACTCACACTGGGAGCATGTGAGTGGGTGCCCAGGATCCTAAGAGTAGAAGAGAAAGGACTCTGGCGTGGCCATCCCACTTGGGGACTGATTTCTCATTTTCTGTTTCTCTGTCTCTGTCTCTCCGGCAAGCACACACTCTCCAAAGCAAAAAAAAAAAAAAAAAAAAAAACTCTTTCAAAAAAAAAAAAAAACTCTTTCAAAAAAAAATAAATAATAGTTCTTGAGACCAGCAGTTGACGTAATGGCTATGTCACTGGACTCCCATGTAGTCAACCATGGTTTGAGTCCCAGACCCGGTGGCTTAAACTCACACCTGACGTGTGTGTGTGCGGGCCCAAGATCCCGAGAGGAGAATGGAGGAGAAGGGATTGCGGCATGGCCATCCCCCCTGGGGGGGTGATTTCTCGCTTTCTGTCTCTCTGTCTCTCTCTGTCTTTCTGGCGAGCACATGCGCCCTATAGCAAAAAATTCTCAAAAAAAAAAAAAGTTCTGCTTCTCAATGGCCAATAGGTATATAAAAAGATAGATGTAGGTCATAAGGGAGATGTAAATCAAAAGCACAGGAACTATTGCCTCACACCTGTCAAGGAGCCATTATCAAAAAACAAACAAACAAACAAAAACCCAGAAAATAACAAGTGTCAGAGAAGAGGTGGAAAAACGGGATCCTTGTGCACTGTTGGGAATGGAAATTAGCACGGCGATTATGAAAACAGTAGAGCAGTTTCTCAAAAAATTAAAAATAGAACCAACATATAATCCAGCAATCCTACTTCTAGGTATTCACCCAAAATCATTGAAAACGCGATCCTGAAGAGAGACCTGCACTCTCATGGCCATTGCAGCGTTACTCACCGTAGCCAAGCGGGAATGGAGCCAATCTAAAAGTCCACCAACGGATAAATGGAGAAAGAGAACGAGGCAGGACGAGCAGAGGGCATAATGGCTACGTCACTGGACTCCCCAGTAGTTGAATGCAGTCTGAGTCCCGGACCTGTGGCTTAAGACTCATGCTAGGCACATGTGCGTGGGTGCCAAAAATTCCTAGAGGATAATGGAGGAGAAGGCACTGCGGCACAGCCATCCCTCCCAGAGGGCGTTTTCTCATTTTCTGTCTCTTTGGCAAGCACATGCACACTATAGCAAAAGTTTCAAAAAAAAAAAAAAAAAAAGGCAAAAAAAAAAAAAAAACCCCACAAAAAACAAACCAACCAATGAAACAGCAGAAAGAGAAAACATGGTATCTAGGAGCAACAGAATATTAGTCAGTCTTAAAAAAAGAGAAACAACCCGAATGACCCTCATAGATACTACACTACGTGAAATAAGCCAGTCCTAGACAGATGCTGTCCGATTCCACTTCTCTGAGGTATCTGGGGCAGTGGAACCCACAGGACAGGGAGGGGCATGGTGGCTGCCCGAGGTGGGAAGATCTTGTGAGACGACAACGCTCCGGGGTCTTGCTCTACGGCAAGGTCTTCAGAGCTAACAACTGCACTTACAAAGTTGTTAACTAGATTTCATGCTACGTGACTTTTACCACCAGACGGGAAAAAGGGATGGCAGAATACAAGCGAGAGTATGACATTATTAAAAAATCTTGAGGGAAAAAAACCTCTGTTTTTTTTTTGGAGAGGTTTTTGCTATAGGGCACGTGTGCTCGCCAGACAGACAGAGAGAGACAGAAAGCGAGAAATCACACACACACACCCAGGGGGATGGCCATGCCACAATCCCTTTTCCTGTTCCTCTCTTCTCCTCTCGGGATCTTGGGCACACACACACACACACACACACAGGCCCGGTTAAGTGTAAGCCACCGGGTCCAGGTCTCAAACTGGGGTTGATTACATGGGAGTCCACCAACTGCTGGTCCCTTAAATACTGACATTTAAAGATGTCCCTGACAGATTCCTCCACTGGTTCAATGGAGGAATACTGAGTGTAGATTGAGCTTCTACCAGGATATGACTATGTGCCAGCCACCAATCCAGATGGGAGATAAAAAGAGGAAGCAAAATAAACAGAAATCCTGCCCTTACACAGCTTATACCCCAGCGATAAAAGGGTCTGACTGGTGCAGTAATGTGTAGTGTAATTCAGTTTAAAAGCCCTCTTAAAACTATTTCAACCAAGAATACCCTACCCAGCAAGATTATCTTTCATATGGGGGAAAAACATTCTCAGAAAAACAAAACCTGAAAGAATTACCAGCACCAGACCAGCTCTCCAAGAAGCACTGAAGGGAGTGCTATACCAGGAAAACTGAAGTCGGACACACAGAGATAAGAGTACAAGAGACAACCAAGAGAAGGGCCAGTCTAATGGTGGGGACAAGTCCGGAGTTGGGTGTTAACTTCCAGAGTTTAAATGGAAGGATCAGAGCACAGTGACACTGCCAATTCAGTAGGAGAGAGATTAATTACGTGAGTCTGAAGTAGTGAAATAGAAATTTTTTACTTTAGACTAAAACATTACTGATTTTCTTCGATACTTTGATTTCCATATTTAAGGATTTTCGTCTTCTCTTGAACTGTTGATAGAATCATCTACCTACTACTTGAATTGAATTCTAACCTTTTTCCTGGCTTTAAGTTTTAAGCAAATTTCTCTTAACATTTTTTGATTTGGGCTTATTAAAACTAAAACTGTCTTTCTTGAAATTAAAAAAATGCATTCAATACCTATTAATACCTATTAAATGACTGCAGTAAGCTATAGAGTCCCAGCTAGGTGCTACCTTATAGTATAATCACTTTACTCACTGAGGTTTACGCCTGAAGTCGGACACGTGTTCATGGATATGCATCTATTAGCTGTGCTTGCTACTGAAGTCTTTAAGTTAACTAAGATCTTTAGTGAATCAATAAAATGTGGGGGGAAAAAGGCATGAAACACGACTGTACATACCAGAGACAGTGTGAGAGAAGGGGGAAACTGGCAGAGGGTGGGAGGTAGGGAACCAAGGGGGGGAAGCAAAATATATAAGAATCAAGAAATAGGAAATTATTTGTTGACAATAATATGTACAGTAACATCCTAGATTAAGCCAATACGCAATGTGTTCTGGATGGAAAATCTCATTTGGTACACTGTATTGATGTACAGTGAATGATTGTCAGTAAATTAAAATAAAAAATAGAAACCCCTTTCTCTGTACAGTTTCCATGTGTAAAGAAAACATCTCGGAGGACACACCACAGACCATCAACACCGGGTATTCCTGAGGCCCATCTCCTACCTGCATTGGAGAGACAGCAGCAGCGGGGGCAGTCCTCACTGGAATTCCACTCAGGGGGCTTCTGGGGGTCTTATGGACAGACATATTCTGTCCAGCTCCACCTGCCAAAAGAGATGGGAACGTTTATGTTGTTCCAGTACAAATAGCAAATAACAGGTCTTGATTTTCCATAAACTTTTTTTTTTTTGGAGAGGTTTTTTATTTTTTGCTATAGGGCGCGTGCGCTTGCCAGACAGACAGAGACAGAGAGACAGAAAGCGAGAAATCAACCCCCCAGGGGGAATGGCCACTCCATTCTCCTCTCTGGATCTTGGGCACGCACGCACACGCGCCCAGCGTGAGTTTTAAGCCACTGCGTCCGGGACGCGAACCGTGGTCGACTACGTGGGAGTCTAGTGACATAGCCATTACGCTAACTGCTGGTTCCCATGGTGTTACTTCTTGATGACATAAAATGTATCCCTTAAGGGACCAGCAGGTGACATGGTGGTTAAGGAGCTGAACTCTCACATGTTCGACTATGGTTCAAATCCCAAACACAGTGGCTTAAAAAATCATGCTGGGCATGTGTACATGTGTGTCCAAAATCCTGAGAGGAGAATAGAGGGGAAGGGTGTGTGTGATGTGACCACCCCCCAAGGGGTTATTTCCCACTTTCCCTCTGCTGGTCTCTTTCTTGGCAAGCACATGTGTCCTATGGCAAATACATTTTTTTAAAAATCCCCTGCTGGGCCAGCTCCATGGCATAGCAGTGATGTGCTGCTCGTGAGTAGCTGCATTGCACGTGGTGACCACAGTTGGAATCCTGGCCTGGTTGGCCTGAAACACCCTGGGCACCACGTTTGTGGGAGTCCAGGATCTGAGGGGCTGAGGAGTGGAGGAAGGGGACTGTGGTGTTACCAGACCCTGTGGAGTTTTTCTCTCATATGTGCATACATGTGCTCTATTATGAAGAAAAAGAAGTACTCCATAATGTTTAGTGTCACATTTATTTTATTATCCTCTCCTCTGGACTACTTTAATTGAGAAGAGGAGAGGGGAGCAGTTGGCTGAGTGGGGGTCAGGCTCAGATGTGGGATATCTGAGGAAACGGAAGCTCATATACAAGGAGTGTCAAGTCGAACGACTCGATCAGCGACTTAACACTGGCAGACTCTGAGGGTGTTGGAGATGCCCCGTTGATGTCGACGCCATGCCACTGGCCCGGGGCGTCCACCTCGGAGGGGAGGATTGGGCAAGTTCTCGCCAAACCATGACTGTTAACTCACTTCCCATCTTCACAGACGGACTGCACTTTCATATCTTTCAATACGTGGAGCCTAATCTTAACCTCATTTAGCTGCAAACTAGCGACAAGCATGTATGTTTGAGGATTAGCCAGGCTACGAGGCACATCTGCGGCAGTTACATGGAGTGTTCGGCAGCTTCTACCTGCTGTCCCTGTGTGTGTGTGGAAAGCAGAGGTAAGAGGCCAGCAGGTGGCACGGTGGTTAAGGCACTGGACTCCCCTTGGCTGATAGTGGCTTGAGATCCAGACCTGGTGGTCTGAAAATCATGCCAAGAGTCTGTGTGTGTGTGTGTGTGTGTGTGTGTGTGTGTGTGTGTATGTCCCAAGAGGGGAATGAAGAAGGGGCTATGGAATGGTCATTGCCCCCGGAGTGACTGCTCACCTTCCTGCTCTCTCTCTCTCCAGTGTGTGCATGTGCTCTATGGCAAAAAAACTTAAAAAAAAGAAAGAAAGAAAGAAAGAAAGAAAGAAAGAAAGAAAGAAAGAAAGAAAGAAAGAAAGAAAGAAAGAAAGAAAAGAAAGAAAGTAGAGATCATTTTTTTATTTGGAGAGGTTTTGGATATAGGGCATGTGAGCACACCAGACAGAGAGAGACAGAGACAGAGAGCAAAAAAATCACTCCCTGGGGGGGATGGCCACGCCACAATCCCTTCTCCTCTCAGGATCTTGGGCATGCATGCACACGCACCTGATGTGAGTTTTAAGCCACCGGGTCCCCGACTCGAACCTGGTTGACTACATGGCAGTCCAGCAACATAGCCATTATGCTAATTGCTGCTCCCTAGAGATAATAATTTTAGAAAGTACAGATGTAGCCGTGGGTCACCGTGCATCATCAGCCAGGCAGTTCCAGGGAAACCTGGAAATGCACCAGGATAGGAGTGGTAGGTGAGCAAGACCAGGAGGAGAAGTCCAACAGCACGATGGAAGATGAGGTGGCCAGGCCCCAACGGAGGGCAGCACAGACCGGATGCCTCGTTGCCTAGGAGACCCAGCCTCTGGCTGACCCTGCTCACTCTCATGTGCTGGGCAGAGGGTAAACAGCAGGGACTGAACATAGTGGCCATATGAGATGGAGGGCCAGGGCAGGGCAGGGACTGGACATGGGGAAATAGTCAAAGAGAAAGAGCCAGGTGTCTGCCAAGACTGCAAGAAATTTGTAGAAAAAATGGGATGGAAGAGCGAGCTTACTTTAGTGCAAAAAATCTTAAAATCCACTTTTTTTAGGAAGAGAGGTTTTTGCTATAGGGCACAAGTACTCACCAAAAAGACAGAGACAGAGAGACAGAAAACAAGAAATCACCTCCTGGGAAATGGCCACACCACAATCCCTTCTCTTCCATTCTCCTCTCAGGATCTTGGGCACACACGCACACATGCCCGGTGTGAGTTTAAGCCGCCAGGTCCAAGACTCAAACCAGAGTTGACTACATGGGAGTCCAGAGACATAGTCATTACACAAACTGCTGGTCCCCACACTTTTTTTTTTTTTTTTTATAATATGCATTTTCAGTGAACTTTTGGAAGACTTCCTCGTCTGTGTACCACCCGTGGGCTAATCACCGCCTCCCACGTGGCCTCCCTGGAACCTCAGCCAGGCTCCTGCACACAGCACTGCACCTGACAGGCATCTTCCTGGGGTTGTATCCAGGGGAGGCCAGCGTGGAGGAGACAGGCTCTGTGTATCGCATCACGGTTTGAATTCGGAGCTGATGGGAACAACTGATGAAATACCTGGGCGTCCCAGGTCGAACGACTTGATGAGCGACTTCACGGTGGTGGCAGACTCCGAGGGCGTCGGAGAGGCTCTGCTGACGTAGACGCCATGCCACCGGCCCGGCGCGTCCACCTCAGATGGCTCTGCGTTGTCACTCACAGGTCTGCACGGTAAAGAGGAGATTGAATGGAAAAGGTGAAGGGTGTTCCCATGGAAGGAGAAAGACACAGATGGAAACAGAACTGACATCGAGGAGATAAACGAAGCTGGAAGGAGAATCCTCAGTTTAAAATCCTGTTTTCTGTATCAGCTTCACTCTCAATTATTTAAAGAGATGCTTTCTTGAGAAATGGCCAGAAATAATTTTATATGTAGAGTGACTTTATATGTAGTAGCTCTAAATAAAAAGTATGTGTTTACGCTGCTAAATTTGAAACAAACATACAAATGTTATTTATCGTGAGTACGTAGCTTACTGTCAAGGGAGGGGTACAACGGATCGGCTTGTATCCCCCCTACAGCACAGAGGTTGGCAAGATGAAACCTCAGGACTCTCTTGCAGCTAGGATTTCAGATGTGACTGGAGTCAGCAATCCCAAAGACCTGGGCCAGACCTGGAGTGGGGTCTGAGTCAGGAGAGGCGTGTTCAACCAGACTGCAGCAGAGGCAAGACGCTTCTGGTGCTGGTCGTCGGTGACGGCTTTCCCACCGAGCGGGCAGCCTCCTGATTTGAAGGCTCCTGTCAAGGATCCTGGAGGCAGCTCCGCTGGCGGTCCTGTCCTGTGTTGTGACTTTGGGGGCTGTTCCTGGAACCTCAGCTTGGAGTTATTTCTGCAAGCCACTTAATGTCTTTTTTTGGAGTGTTTTTTTTTTTTTTTTTTTTTGTTGGTTTGTTTTTTTTTTTTTTTTTTTTTTTTTTCGCTATACATGCGCTCACCAGACAGACAGAGAGAGACAGAGAGACAGAAAATGAGAAATCACCCTCCAGGGGGCATGGCCACGCCGCAATCCCTTCTCCTCCATTTTCCTCTCGGGATCTTGGGCACACATGCACACGTGCCTGGTGTGAGTTTAAGCCACCGGGTCCAGGATGCGAACCGCAGTCGACTATGTGGGAGTCCAGCAACATAGCCATTATGCTAACTGCTGGTCCTGGTGGCTTTCTGTCTCAACCAACCAGAGTGCAATCCGTGGCCTCTCTGAGCCTCAGAACAGCAGTAGTGCTCTAATTACACTGTAATTCTACATGCGGAGCTCCTACTCTCACCCAGATCCCCTGGTATGTTCTTCGTGTGGGTTGAACATTTAAGCACAGACTCGTGGAAGAGGTCTTAGCAGACAGATCATCTGATTCAATCGCCTGGTGCACGGCTTTCTTCCCTAGGACTTGAGCATGTCATTTAATCTCCCTGTGAGCGAACCGAGTCAAGGACTCCCCCTCCTGACTGCTAAATCTCTGCCCTTTTATTATATCATATTGCCACAGCTGTTGTGAAATATGACTAATTTATGAGAAGGGCTCAAACAAAATACTCTGGAAGTGTACTTTAATAAGGTCAATGGAAGTTTAAAATATTTATTTACTGATCTTTTTGAAATTAATCTAGCTACTCGTAAGCTTCTGCGGTTGAATTCATTTCTCTTTAATTCTCTAAGCTTCTTTCCGTTGCTCTGCGCTCCACACGAGGAGAATGCGTTTAAGGAAGACAGACCTCATGACACCTGGACCACAGTGCCCTGCTCACTCCACAGCCCCTTCTGTTCAGCGCGGGAAGAAAAAAGTCAATCAACTGGAAATTTCTTTGGAAGAAGCTATCAAGTATTTCAGAAACTATAGGGATTATACTTCAATTTTTTTTAAGGTTTATTGACGGCAATTGGTGTTTGCATTTCCCCCCCTCATGTTACTCAGTATAAAGCCAGCTGGTAAGTACGTAGAAAAGGGATGAAATCAGGTTAGGTCCAAGCAGGGAAAAGAATCTTGCTTGTTGGGACCAGCAGTTAGCGTAATGGCTATGTCGCTGGACTCCCACATAATCGACCACGGTTTGAGTCCCAGACCCGGTGGCTTAAACTCACGCCGGGCGGGTGAGCAGAGGGCACACGCCCTATAGCAAAAACTTCTCAAAAAAAAAAAGAAAAGAAAAGAAAAAAAAGAAAAAGAATCTCGCTTGCCTTGACCTTTCTCAGGAGGGTCACTAGCAAATTGTCCTAACGGCCCACTTCAATGGCTTCACCATTTTTTAACATTTGTTTTCACGGGGCTGGCAGGTGGCGTGATGGTTGTGACGCTGGACTCCCACGTGGCCGACTGCAGTTCAAGTCTCTGACGTGGTGGCTTGCTTTCTCACTTTCCCTTCCTCTCTCTCTTTGCCTCTCTCTGGTCAAATTAAAACAAAGATAAATAATCATAAATAAAATTAAATAAAAAATAAACTTGTCTTTAAAAAAATTGTTTTCATTTCAGTATTCAAAATGACTTAGGAAGAATGAAATAATTTTGGAAGGATAAAGTGATTTAGGAAGAATAAAATAATTTAGAAAGAAAAAAAGGAGAATCCTACATTCTGCAAAGGCTGTCTCTTGCAATTATCTAAGTTTCTCTGTGATTCAAAGTGTCATGTGATAAACAGGAAGATTCACAGGGACGTCCTAAGAAAACAGCAAAGCTGTGAGAATCAATTTCCAGTACTCCTGCCTTCAAACATACGCAGGGCCTTCAAAAAGTTCATGGAAAATGTGTATCGGGAAAACAACTACGCATGGGTTTCACAATTGCACCAGCATAAATAAACTCAGTAGGTCCATTTTTCCACAAACTTCTGAAGTTCCATCATACAAAGATAATACTTTAAGCAATCAGTGTGCTTGACCAGGACAATAGGAGTCAGTATGAGGAAACTCTGCAAGTAGAGAAATATCCACTAAATACCCACCATAATGTATCCATATTGTGTAACAGTAGTGTGTGTGTGTGTGTGTGTGTGTGTGTGTGTGTGTGTGAGAGAGAGAGAGAGAGAGAGAGATTCACAAAACAAAGCCTGAACTGAAAAAGCACAGAACACTGTTAGTAAGAATTCCACTGGGGGCCAGCAGGTGGCATAGTGGTTATGGCACTGGACTCCCACACGACTGACTGTGGTTTGAATCCCAGACCTGGTGGCTTGAAAATCACACAGGCTGTGTGTGTGTGTGTGCCCAAGATGGAGGAGAATGGAGGAGAAAGGATTACAGTGTGGTCATGCCCCTGAGTGGTGCTTTCTCACTTTCCCTGTCTCTCCCTCTTCACAACCATGCCCTATGACTAAAACGTAAAAAAAAAAAAAAAAAAAAAAAAAGTCATTGGTTTCAGTAACAAATGAAATGTACATAAGCTTGAAACTAGTTGCACTAGTCTGTCTTAGAGCTGGCTGAGATCAGTGACAGCCAACAAGAGATGAAGCACTACATTTCCTGTATTCCAAGGGAAAAGAAGATCTCGGGATTCTATAAAGGATATTAAGAAATACTTCAGCATAGAGACAGGTATATCTTAGCAAATTCATCAAATAGGAAAAAATCTGCAAAGTACCACCACTGATTCAACCTTGGTTTGAGGCTAGCTATTATTGTCTCTAAGGCTGACGTTAGATTCTGAAGTTGACCTGTGAAATAAAAATCAGACATGCACCAAATAAGCTTTGAGAACCCCTTAAGTCACCCGGAATTACAGCTCACGTGGTTTTGTAACTTGCAAGCTGTACACTCTCTCTCTCTCTCTCTCTCTCTCTCTCTCTATCTATATATATATATATATATATATATACACACATATATATATATAATATATATATACACACACATATATATAAGTCTAACACAGTAGTTTCCCCACAACATTGAATAATTTGCTTTTTCTTCAGTTACGGCTTGAATAAAACAGCTGCTTTCTCTGTAGGAGCCATGTTTAAAACAATGTTTTCCACCTGCTTTAGCACATAAAACCATAACAGTAAAAATGTCAGCAAAATAAATGTGTATAACTCCTCTGTGTATGCCAGGCACTGTACCATGTCTTTTTGGAGAATTATTTATTTCATTTTATTTATTATTATTATTATTATGGAGAGGTTTTTGCTATAGGGTGCGGGTGCTTGCCAGAAAGACAGAGAGAGACAGAGAGACAGAAAGCGAGAAATCATCCCAGGGGGATGGCCACACTGCAATCCCTTCTCCTCCATTCTCCTCTCCGATCTTGCATGCACATGCGCCCAGTGTGGGTTTAAGCCACCGGGTCCGGGACTTGAACCGTGGTCAGCTACATGGGAGTTCAGCGACATAGCCAATCAGCGAATTGCTGGTCCTTTTACTATTATTATTATTTTAAAATTTGCTATTGCCATGTATGCTCACCAGAGATGGGGGCGGTGAAAAGAGAAAGCTGGCAGCCAGGAGGTCTGGGACTTGAGTCACGGCCAGCCATACGGGAGTCCAACGTCTTAACCACCAGGCCACCTGCTGGCCCCGCGTACTTTGTATCTTAAAAACATTATTTAATTTTCCATAAAAACCCTACATGTTAAACATCTGACAGAAGTCGCATGGCTCATAAACGGTGAATCTGGGATGTAAGTTAGCCCTGACTAGCCAAGGCTTTCTCAAATTTCTATAACACACGAGTGTTTTGTGAAAGTAAAAAAATAAGGTTGATGGTATTTCTTCTTAAATTTTACTTTAAATATACTTAATAAATGGGACCAGTAAGTGACATAGTGGTTACAGTGCTGAACTCCCACACAGTCGACCATGGTTCAAATCCCAGACCTGGTGGCTTAAAACTCAAGCTGGGCACATGTGCGTGTGTGCCCAAAATCCTAAGAGGAGGATGGAGTAGAAGGGACTGTGGCATGGCCATCCCCCCGGGGGGTGATTTCTCACTTTCTCTCTTCATCTCTCTGTCTCTCCGATGAGTACAAGTGCCCTATAGCAAAATCTCTCTCTCTACATACATATATATACTTAAGAAAAAGTGTTACCAACATATGTCAGTGCTCTTATTATTACTATTATTATTATTTTGCATTTATCTGCCCTTACGAGGTGGCAACCCATAGCTGGAAATGACAGTAAAGAGCAGGCCACCAGATGCCTGAGCACACAGCAGGTAGCCACTTCCCACTGACC